GTTGTAGTGCAGATAGTGTTTGCCTAACTGATGAGCGGGTCAGACACCGATGAGGGTAGAGTTGACAATGTGAGACTGACACGTTCGAGATCACTAAGGGTCCCGCACGTGTTCCAGACCCTACAACCGGGAGACGAAGCACGGCTTCGTGCCGAACGTAGAGCCCGTGCTCTTGCAGCAGCGAGGGCAGCAGCAAACCTAGCAGCTAGAGAACAGGCAGCAGCAGCCAGAGCGGCAGCAATGGCTAACGGCGCACCCTCTGCAGCATCCTCGTCAGGGACCCTGTTGGGGCATGGGAATGCCCTCAATGCCCACGGGTACTTCCGGATCAATAGGTGCTAGACAGTCCACAAGTCAAATGGCGGGCTCGCAGTTAAGCCCGTTGACCCCACGCGGTAGGGAGCTTCTAGAGCTCCAACAGGTCGACAGGATCCGCGAGCGGTTAGAGAGGGAACTGAAGCAAGCTACCGACAGAGAGAGAAATTAAAAGTAGAACAGTCAGGCTTGATACGTTAGAGGCAGACAAAGCTGCATTAGAGGGTTTGGATGAGTCAGCCATGTCTGACCAAATGAAAATATTGAAGAACAGCATGTTGTCGCAGCATGAGCATGTGGACAGCAGACTGGATTTCATGCAAAACTCTTTGGACCAGATCTTGGACCTTTTGCAAAGGCCAGGATTCAGGCCAGCAGCACAGTCGCCGTTGTCGTTAACGGCGATGTCAGGCCCCTTTCCAGCACAAGCTGGCACGCAGCCATGTGGTACGCCTGCAGCAGCCGCACAGACTGTTGCTTCTTCTTCTTCAGGGTCAGCGGTGGTTGCTACACCATCACCGCAACAACCTGTTCCTCAACAGGGACAGCAGCAAGGTCAATATACCCAAAGACCCCGATGAAACCGCCCCTTGCCTTCTCCGAAGAGAAGAAGGATGAGGAACTCAACACATGGTTGAGAACGGTTCTAGTGTGGGTAAGGGCAAAGAGGACTTTGCAGGAGGAGGAGGTGATTACTGCTGCATCTTACCTTGAGGGTAAGRCAGCCAAATGGCTGGATGGATTAGTGGCAAAGGCAGGGTACGGACGACGCATGGCGGACTGGGCTAAGACCCTAACGTTAGAAGAGTTCTTGGAAATGGTAGAAGCTCGCTGGCACAATCCACAGCAGGCACAAATTGCCACTGATGTGATGCATAGACTAGACCAACGAAAGTTCAAGTCAGTCAGAGAGCTAACGACTACCGTAGAGAGCCTCATCGTCGTTCCCGGCATACGCTACGATGACCAGGTCTTATTGACCATGTTTGTGAGATGTCTCCCAGAGAATCTCAGGAACTTACTAGCCCGCGAGGCTCGCCTCGAGTATCACTCATTTGAGACACTATCTAGAAAAGCCTTAGACTTAGAGGCTACTTTAGGAAGTGCTCAGCCTACTCAAGTCGACACAAGGAAGAAGAAGAGTCCACAGGACTGGAAGAAAAAGGGGAGCAAATTGATGATGGTTGAGTCCGATGGGACTCAAATCGAGATCGAAGAGCTCACAGACCTGTTGGACTATTGAGAGTACGACGGCGAGGAAATCGCTGAGGGTAGCACCCTCGCCGCAGTAGTAAAAACCAAGGCAGGTGGCCGAGAGAAGGGCCATCAAAAGAGTCAAGGGCAGGCCGCCTCCAATCAGACCAAAGTTGCTGATTGGGTCAAGGCAGGTCTTGATCAAGAAGTGTGGCGGGACCGCTGAGTGCGTGGCGCTTGCATTAACTGTGGTGAATATGGACACACCCAGTATAAGTGGAAGAACGCAAAGGTCACACAGAAGATACCTCCTAAGATGTTGGCACCTTCTTCCCAGGCTTCTAGCTAGGGAAACACGTAAGGCCGGTGGAAGTTTTAGCTGCTTCTACTCAAGGTGAAGTGGCCC